ACGAGAGAGTGAGGTCCTGTAACAGACGCTCTATGGTCGACAGCCGTTCATCGATAGTCTCGATCTTCCTCTCACTGCAAGGAGAACTTAGAATCGATCTTTCACCACCATATATTTCCGGGCTAGCATAACAAAAATGGGTAAATAGCATACTATTGATGCGAAATTAACACTCGTTGGCGCTGCTCCTTCACTCGGGGCGTGGTTCGACATATTGTCTTCCCAATTCGACAATTAGAGCATGGAGAAGTTCTGTCACATTTTATCTAAAACCAGCTGTTAGCACAATTGGCTACTCCGTATGCCTGGAAGACATTAACTTACCTTTCGGAGGCGACAATTATCGCACTGGGTAGTGAACAGTAATAAATGCCATGATTAGCTACGTGAGCAAGCTTAGGGTTCTAGATATCAGGATTATCAATACCGCTCTCTGCAATGCCGGGTTTCTCTGACTGGCTGACGGAGCATCGCTGTCTCTTGATTCGGCCGTGTCCATAGCTATCGTTGTCGATGTTGAAATCAAGTGTCACTAACTTGACGGTGGTTTAAATATGAAATCCAAACCGAGTAATGCAGCATTATTGTTCTTTTTTTTGTCCTCGACGTTCCTTCTTTGCCCGCCGCAGAAGATTTTAGTCCTTAATGCACTATCCTGGTTGCTTGCTGCCTATTTTCCAAGCCTCTTGGGCGCGGCAAAAGCTCGTATACAGCTGAGTCCTTGTAACAGTGCCCCAGGAGGCGAGTCATTATCACGTGAAATGAGCCAAAATGTACCAAAGTAACGTTAATTGGAGTCGGAACTCAGAAGGAAACAGAAGATATATTTAAGTATATTAAAACTGACATTGCAAGTCACGATCATATAATACCAGAACATATTAATTCATAAAGGCCGTCGCAGTATATACTTTTCTCACAAAAAACCCAAGACGTGGCATCTCCAACTCACAGAGGGTATCTATCCTATAAGGGGAGTAACAGTAAATAGAAAATTCTCCATGCTCTACCCAAACCCCAAGAAATAACCAAGTTTTCCAAAAACAACATGTATAATGGTAGATGACACAATATCCGTATGCAATCATCAGAGGTAAATGCAGTAAGACTCTAGGCTAACACCAATTCTCTTTGAATATAGGAACGTGCCCCTAAAGGCCAATGGCAGTGTCAGCTATAACTGAGCCTTGAGGATAATTATGGGAGATGGTGACAGGAACAGGCGGTTGTCCGAAAATTGGAGGTCCAGTATATAGGCTTCCAAGGATGTTTTGTCTCATTTCGTCTTCATCCCATATGAACTGCCTGCCGCGACTTAACCTTTCTTTGCGAGCATTAAGCTCTACCTCGTTGATAAACGGCCGTCCAAGGCCGCATTGGCTTTGGGTAAGCAAGAATTGAAACATAGTGGAACGTAGCTTGTCCCAGAGACTGCCGTGCTGCTTCCATTCCAGGCGTTTTGCGATACGCAGCATCCTAGAGACTAGCCAGTTTCTTTCCCCAGAATCAGACTTCTCATTATATTGGAATCCACCATTGTTAAGGAATATCCAGAGGAGTGTGGCAATGCTTGGACTTGAACGCGGATTTACCGCCCTGATGGCACTATTCACCCAGTTCAGATAGCCGTCAAAGTTTTTATGGCTTAAGTAGTAGTCGTGGAGTGCAAAGTTCAGGTAAAATAAGCAGGCCATGCACGTGTATTCATCAATGAAGCGAACATCGCGAATACCATGATCGTAATCTGGCAGGTTAGCCAGAAGAGTATAAAGTGGGGAAGTCTCTTCAAAGGGCCTCTGTGGGCTTTCCAATCCGTCCAACCTTAAAGGTGGCAGCGGCTGATTGTATAAGAATGCACATTCCAAGTCATCTAGGGACCGGAAAAATGCAAGAAAATCCTCACATGCTTGGAGAATGTCGGGAATGTCATCGGGGTCTTCGCTTGCAGGGACTTCTGCGGGAATCACAGGAATAACTTCCGGGGGTACGAAGCTGAGATTCTTGGGGGGTACATCAGGTATTTCGCCGGTCCAGGGAAGGCCAGCACCCACGATGGCATTGGAAGCGCAGCAAAAATCGACCCTGAATGGAAGTCAGTTTTTTGATACTCGTTTTCCACCGAATATGAGTGTAGTTACCAGTAGACGACTTTTTCCAAGAACGGACCAGTGGCACTTCTCGTCCGCATTGCTTGCATGCCTCCTCGCCTCCGGATCAACTGTTTGATTCCCTGGAAATGAGTGCGTTCAACGACGGAATCTTTCGACCATTTCTAACGTTTAGGTTAGCGTACGAACATAACGCATATGTCAAGTGAAGTGCGTACCTCAATAACAGTCAGACTAGCGACTGCGTACAAAGTGCCATCTTCCTTATCGATATCATCATTTTTTAGTCGCTCCTTGATGAGTTTCAGCGCACGCATCTTGTGTGTCAGGGATTGTACGGTCTCCACCTGCCCCTCCATGCCAGCCCTGTGCTTTGCAGCAACAGCCAGCATGGCTTGAAACGGGACAGGGTCATGAAGCGCTATGTTATGGAATATGGCTCGGATAGGGTTGTCTTGCTGGGCATTTTCCATTTTATACATCATCATTGGGTACTTGGTCACATCTATAAAAAAAGAAAAAGGACAAGCAGTTAGCCAGATACTGCAAATATTTGCGTGTATGTGTCAATGCTCCTGACTTACAGTGATCAATTAGTTTATTATCAGCTTCCTTCAATACCAGCGGAAGACAGTTGAATGGTTCGAATGCAGCGAGCGGCGACTCTGCCTTCGGATCGACTATGGGAAATCCGGCGGCCGGAGAGCCTCCTACGGAGTTCCTAGAAGATTTCTGGCCTGTCGTTGCCGCCACAGCCGCTGCTCGCTGGCTAGCCCTGCGCTGAATATTCTGGCTGCGAGACCGGCAGGGTCCCTTTTGCTCGTTACTGTCGTCGTCGAGTTCCTCTACCTTGGGCGAGACGCTTCTGGCCTCGCCTTGCACCTTGTTGCTGCCTGTTGACCAGCCGGAAACCTGTACGCGTGTCGATTCGAGCCGTGCTATACCGTCGAGCCGCCGCTGGTGAACGTACTGGCGCATCGCATGACGTCGAACCTGTCTTCTGGACTCGGAATCCGTGACCAGGACGAACTCAAAGTTTCGCGGTCCATCTGGGGCAGCTTGAGCTGACGGGGAGCTGGCTGACGAGCTGGGGTTCGCGCCTGCATCGAGGGTTGCAGCGGACTTCCCCATACTGCCATCTTATATAGGTGGAGCGTCAGTCGGACAGGAGGAGGAAGATGGCAGCAAAGAAGCCAACGACAAGAAGCTTCAGGGGAAAAGGCCCGACTCTGGCGCCACCAGGCTCCGGCGATCGCCCCTTGCACCTCTCTTCCGATAACTATCCCGGCAGCCCAGGTGTCGTGTGTCGAGGGTCCAGCGTGGAGCCCAATACCAAAGCGTCTCCAGTGCTCGAGCGGCCGTCGTCTCCCTCACAGTCTGCTCGCTATCGGCAATCGCTGATATCGTCGTTGTCGGCACGCCCGTCGTCTCGTTTCCGAGCGTCGTCGTCGTCGCCTTTTGCTTTCTGCAGCGGAAAAAAGATCGAGATCGAACGTTCCAAACGCGGAAAAAGGTGGGGAAGATCCACTGACGTCACGTGTTATAACCAATTAATGGATAACTAGCTGGATGTTATGTAATATATTACTAATACACAGGCTGCTTTGGAGGCAGCGACGGGGATGGGATGGATGGGATGGGCGATATCAGAGGGAGGAAGAAGCGTAGAAGAGGCGTAGAAGAAGCTGAAGCTGAAGCAGCTGAGGAGGCATAAGTAGAGTAGAGGTGAGAAAAGGGGCTATTCATTGCGGTACTTGGACAGGGCAGCGAGGATCCCTTCGCTGAGGCCCTCGGAAGACTCCCCTGTTCGTGCTGGGGCTGCGGCAGGCTGGCTCTCTGCCTCTCTCAAGGCCTCTACGGCAGCCTCGTCGGCCTCTCCAGTGTCGCCCGTAGCACTGCGTCTGGTGTCACTTTGGCCAGGCTGAGGCTGCGACTGCAACTGCGACTGCAACTGCGGCTGGGGTTGGGTCTCGGGTTGAGGCTCCCTTGGAGCACTGCGAGGAGCCCTGTCGGTTCTGAACTCTTCCTGAACCGCGTTCGTCCATTGCTTGACCTTCCTCTCCCCCCATCCCGGTACAGCACTGATCTGCTCTGGCTGTGCATTGATCGCATCCCGCAGCGACCCAAAGGTAGACATCAGGCTGGCCGCGTCAGACTTGTTGATACTTCGTGGGGCAGTCACAAACTCAACCAGGCTATCCTTGTATGATTGTGCCTGGCGAGACCGGATAGCGGTTGGCTGGGCGTGTTCGCTCGACTTGAACAGCTCCAGGTAGTGTGCTGCCTCGGGTGCGGACCAGCACAGGATGATGGTTAGATTGTTGATCAGACACGTCTTGGACAGCTCCTTTAGGCTGTCCTCGTGGTTCGGGATATCTACTATCGTAAGCAGGATCCGTAGCCTGAACTTCCCTCCCAGAGCCTTAATTCGAGTGTAGATGTACTCAGGATGCAGCCGGTGGTATTTCAGAGAGAGGAAGAGAGCGCAGCTCGTAGTCCCTACAAGGTAGTCTGCGGGTATATCTGCATACTCCCACGGCGTTAGCCGAATATGTTGCAGTATCGGGTTCCCTTTCTGCCTTGACGAGACCAGGATGGATGACGGCCCTCGACGCGCTGGCAGAGCTTGTGGCTTGGGCTGCTGGACCTTCGCCTTGGATGCTGGCTCTGGCCGCTGCTGCTGCTGCTGCTGCTGCTGTCTTGACGGCCCAGAGGCTGCATTCTCTATAGCTTCACTGGTCGCAATGATGTCCTGAAAGTCCTGTATATCGCCATACTCATCATCCATGGCCGCTTTTATCCCGTTATATCGGCGTGTTCATTTCTTCGTGGTTGTCAGTGACTTTCTTCTTGCTGGCTAGACGTTGTATTTATATATGCGGCTTCTGCTTGATGGCTCCACCGACTGCAAAGCTAAAATCAAAAGTTTCGTTTTTTTTTTTTCCCATCCTTTTGTTTTCACTGCTAGACATCAAGCAGAGAGACGACGAAGCCAACGACTGGACAATGGCCGAAAATAACAAGAGAAGGAGACTTTCAGCCAGCGGGAGCTTCAAGATGGATGAGAATGTACGGACTGGCAGTTTCGCCGCTGAGAACACTGCTCCGGACGCAGAGCAAGCCCCGGCCAAAGAGCGCAAAACTAGGACGCTCTTCGTGCGATCGCTACCCACAACGGCGACGACAGAATCGTTGACAGAGTACTTCTCGCAGTCCTACCCTCTAAAGCATGCCACTGTTGTGCTTGATCCACAGACAAAACAGTCCAAGGGATACGGATTCGTTACCTTTACAGACCACGAAGACGCCCAATCGGCAGCAAGAGAACTGAACAACTCGGTGTTTGAGGGGAAGAAAATAAAAATTGAGCTTGCCGAACCTCGCCATCGAGAAATTGATGAAAAGGCAGGGAAGAGTGTTCCATCTTCTGCCCCGTCAAAGGCAAAGGAACTCAAGGAGAAGAGAAGGCTGGAATCATTACCCCCGAAACTTATAATACGAAATTTACCGTGGAGTATAACCGAACCGCAGCATCTGGAACTGTTGTTTAGGAGTTATGGAAAGATTAAACATGCCGTCGTGCCAAAAAAAGGTTCGAGGCTTGCCGGGTTCGGATTTGTGGTTATGAGAGGGAGGAAAAATGCAGAACGAGCGATTGAAGGCGTCAATGGCAAGGAGGTTGATGGGCGGACCTTGGCCGTCGACTGGGCGGTGGAGAAGGATGAATGGGAAAACAGGAACAAAGCTGCAGAGGAATCCGATGGAAAGGAAGAGGCCGGAGACAGCGAAGAGGCTGTTGCGGAGAATGAGCAACTTGATGTCGTCGATGATGGAGAATCGGATGCCATTAGTGAAGATGAAGAAGATGGGGGAGTTGAACTTGATAATGAGGATGAAGACGAAGATATCTCCATGGATGATGCAGAATATGACGAGCAGGAAGAAGAGGAAGAGGATGATCGAAATGCGTCAACAATATTTATACGGAATCTACCCTTCTCTGCTACAGATGAGACTCTCCACGAACACTTTTCTAAGTTCGGCCCTGTTCGCTACGCTAGGGTTGTGCTTGACCCAGCAACGGAACGGCCAAAGGGTACGGCCTTCGTCTGCTTCTACAAAGCGGAAGATGCTTCCTCTTGTATCCGCGAGGCTCCCAGAGACGTGGATCCGTCTCGAAGCAAAGATCCCAGACATAAAGCTGCAACGAGACAGTTGCACTCAGTTCTCGAGGACGAGAGCAATGATCCTACTGGGAAGTATACCATGGATGGCCGTGTCTTACAGGTCTCACAGGCAGTGAGCCGAACAGAGGCTGGGAGGCTTGAGGAGGAAGGGCATACGCGCCGTGAAGCTCGAGACCATGACAAACGCCGACTCTTCCTGCTCTCGGAGGGAACAATTCCGTCCAATTCCCCCTTATATGCGAAACTCTCTGAAACAGAGAGAAGGATGAGAGAAGCGAGTGCCAAACAGCGTCAAAAGCTTGTCAAGTACAATCCTATGCTGCACGTGAGTCTTACTCGACTGTCTGTCCGCAACTTGCCACGGCACATTGATTCCAAGGCCCTCAAAGCACTTGCACGCGAGGCCGTGGTGGGTTTTGCAAAGGATGTTAAGAACGGCCTTCGTAAGCCAATATCCTGGGAAGAATCTCGTCGAAGCGCTGCCTTAATGAAAGAGGCCGATCACCTACGCAAGGCCCAGAAAAAGGGCATTGTTAAACAGGCAAAGGTTGTTTTCGAGGGTAAGGATGGCTCGAAGATGAGCGAGAAGTCTGGCGCGGGCAGGAGCAGGGGCTACGGATTCATCGAATACGCTACGCACAGAAACAGTTTAATGGGGCTCAGATGGTTGAACGGCCATGCCATTGAGGCGTCTGCGTCTACGCCCAACGCTGACCCGGCGGATAGAAAGAAGCGTCTCATTGTGGAATTTGCCCTTGAAAACGCCCAGGTTGTCAACCGAAGGCGAGAACGAGAAATGAATATCCGAAAAGCTGCTACAGAAGCTGACGGGGAGGAAGGCCCTCAACGCGGTATAAAGCGCAGCCGCGACGAAAGGGATGAGAAGCAGACTAAGAGGCCAAGGGCAGGAAAAGGCTCCAAGAGCAATCTCAAGGGGGCGAAGAATGGCAAAGGGCCAGCAGGAAAACCTGAACAGAAAGCTGAAAAGGCCCCAGAGAAGACCTCGTCCACAGAGAAGAACAATGACATTGCTAAGCGGAATAGGATCATTGCTAGAAAGCGGATGTTAAGAAGGAACAAGAGATGAATGCTGAACCTTTGCTGATATTTAGCGAGTGTTATGTGAGCGGTGTCTTATTCATATCAACCGGATAAAAAAAAGCGTGTTTGGTCGTTATTTAGGATAGATATACAGTGGAAAAAGCTATTGACTAGAATGTTTAATACCGTCATGTGCATTGCATAGAGCTGAGCCAGGGAAGAAAGGGAGGGAGTTCGTTAGAAATATAGATCCTATAGGTTAGTTGCTCCTGCAACCTTTCCTACGATGTTATATCTCTTGCTGAAGAACTTGTGCCAGTCTTCCAGGACGCCCTTTTCCTTGTCTCCGAGGTCACTCCACTGGGGAACACAGTCCTCTGGCTTCAGGGAAGACTTTGCGAGCGCTCTCGAGGAATCCTTGCCGGCAAATACTACATTTAGCTATCAGTATATATGAAATTAATCGCTGTCCTATCCAGTGCTCACCGTTATAGTTCCCTCCCTTAGCATATGCCGAGTTTCCAGAGACATCGAAGACGTCTCCCTTGATGGCAACGAAAATAGGACGGCTAGGATCAGAGCCTGGCGTCAATCAAACAAGAAGTCAGCAAAACGAGCGGCGATAAGATATATATATAGGTACAAACAGTCGGTATCAAGAAGATACTGGCTGGCTTACCGTCTGATTTTGCTAGGTCTGCGAGCGAGATAGGGTCGTCCTTTGGCGGGTTGAGGTTCGTGGCCACGGGAGACATGATGCTCTTTGGGTCAGCCATGTTGATCAGTGAGTATGTGAGTGCCTATTGCTCTTCTTCTTCTTCTTCTTCTTCTTCTTTTCCCTTTAGATGGCTATCAAAGGCTGTTCTCTGGATGGCGTTGAAGTGGTTGAATGTTAGGCGATGTTCAGCTTCCGAGGCTGAAGTTTGGCGGGGAGCAGAAGCAACAGACGAAGCCCCGCATCGTCATCACCACCACCACCAACAACAACAACAACAAACAACCACCGTCCGACACTCTAACAACCTCTCTGTCACTCTACCTGTCGATCATCATCGTCGCCACTATCACTACCACGATAGACCGCTCTTTGCTAGGGAATGGCATGGGGAGGGCAGTCTAAATACCATACACACCATCTGCAGCCATCTGTGTTTTGGTCTCAGCTGAGGGGAGTGGTTGCTGCTATTCGACTACCGCTAGGACTTGATATCTGTGTCTACGAGCTCGCCATAGGTTGCTGTAACTCCAGTAACAATGCTCGAAGGACCATACTAGCTAGTTAGCTACTTGTGCTATGCTAACAGCTTCATCTAGGTAGAAATCCCCCCGGTATCGTCATCCTTTGACGGGAGACCCCCTGGCTGGAGGTATCACAAGGCAGACATCAATCTATATTCCATGGATTCCGACCTAAAACAGCGGCCTGATGATCAAAATATACTCATATAAGGACCAAGTCCAGGATCAAGCCTGGCGAGCTGTTCTCATCTGATTCCTTGTCGCCATCAGTTAAGGTTCAGCCCGTCCTCACAGCAATGCAACACCACTAACTAACCGACCAATACCTCCTTTGCCATTGACAACTCAGCAACAGAGAGAGGCTGCCATTACTTACTGCCTCGTCCTGCTCGCAATAATACGTTTCTTGACCGCGCGCCCAAGGTCAAGGGGATAACCCTTTTTTTTTTTTTCGGATGGGCCCCCTCAAACGCTAAGGGTCCGTCGGCCACATGCAAGGGCTCGGCCAAAGGTAACTAATTAAATAACTAAAGCAAGTGTGCTTTAGTTAGCTGAGGGTGGCAAAGCCGATAGCCTTTTTCCCATGTTTAAGCTCTGCTTGCCGTGAGAGGAAAATCCCTGATTCTCCTCATTTTTCACTCTGGGTTGATGCGTGCTTGCTTTGTGGGCGCAACATTTTTCACAGCTCTTTCCCGAGGTGGATCTCGCGGGTCAAATTATCCCTTTGACTTGCTGCATTACTCTCCAAGAGACTGGGCTGCATATGCAGCGATTTTTTCTCTTTTCTTTTTTTTTTTCTTTTCACCAGGTCATGGACTTCCCTTAGTCTATCTATTATTTGTTTCGTTTAAGTAGAATAACTATATGAAGCTCCACTTGTGTGTCGTTGAGCCTTCTCCATGATCATTTTCTCCCCCAAGTTTTCCTATATCTTCGTCTTATTCTTGCCTTGAGCCTCTTGCAGATAATAATCTGCGATATAGGCACTATGGGGACCATGTCCCGGCGACAGGTGTCCGCGGAGAGAAGGGAAAAGGGCTCTGATGAACCTCCCGCATATCGACAACGTGTTGACGAAGAGGTCCCGGGGCCGGAAAAGATCAGTACTGACCACACCCACCGCAATCTCAAGCCTCGACATATTCAATTGATAGGAATCGGGGGGACTATCGGCACTGCTCTTTTTGTTCAAATCGGCAAGGGTTTGCTTAGCGGTGGACCTGCAAGTCTATTTATTGCGTTTTCTTGGTGGTATGTTTTCCCCAGCAAGCTGCATACCCCTACACCCCTACATACACCTTTGGACGACGTTACTTCTACTGTTGGTTGGCAAGACACATTCCCTGTACTCTGTCTGCCGTACCTTTTGTGAGGCCTATACCCATTCAAAGCCACCGAAATAGATATGGAGACAGATACTGCTTCTCCCTCTGTCCTGTGTGCAATACCTCGAACAGAAAACTAGGAATGACTGCCATCTTCTATGGGAATAGCATTGCATGGGAACAATTAGCCATGACCTTATGAACTTGAACATTCTTGGTTCATTGAACATGTCTCTAGGGTCTTCTAGCCCCTTTCGAGGACGAAAACAGTGCCCACCACAACATCCCTTAATTTCCTTATTTTGCGTCTGATTTCATCTTCTGCGCGTTGTTGCTATTCCTCCTTTCCCTTTCCTCCCCCCCCCCCCCCCCCCCTCTCTATTTTTTATGGAAACGTTTGACTCTTATACGGATAAATAGGTGCACTTTCATCTTGGCCATTACCATGTGTGAGAACCCTCGGAAACTAATATCAGCCATGCCGGTCGACAGTGTCGCATACCTGCCGTCTTTTGCCAACAAGCACCAATGCCCCCATGCAGCATGTAATTAGCTAATTCTCTACCCCCTGGAATTCTGTAGGCATGGCGGAAATGGTAACGTATTTACCTATATCTTCGCCCTTTGTGAGATTTGCAGGCCGGTTTGTTGATGAGGCTTTCGGAGTTGCGGTTGGATGGAACTTCTTCATCTTCGAGGCCGCCCTGGTTCCGTTCGAGATCGTGGCTTGCAATTTCATCATTCATTATTGGAGTGATGCTGTGCCGGCCGCAGCCATCATAACCATTGTCATAGTTCTTTATGCGTACGTGCACAGTCTTGTTCCTGCTTTATGCATATATTGATTCCAACCCCCCTATTTTCTCTTGCCTCGAGGTACGAAATTTACTGACAACCCTTTGATCGACCAGAGCGTTCAATGTCTTTGCCGTCCAATGGTATGGAGAGTCAGAATTCTGGCTATCACTAGGAAAGGTCATCCTCATCGTCGGTGTGCTATGCTACACATTTGTCACCATGATTGGTGGAAACCCCTTAGGGGATAGATATGGGTTTCGATACTGGAGGGATCCTGGAGCGTTCACTACTACTTACAAGACGGGCAGCCTTGGTCTATGGCTAGGATTTCTCCAGTGCTTGATCCTCGCCAGTTTTACAATTGCAGGACCTGACTATGTCTCTATGGCAGCTGGGGAGGCGGAAAACCCGAGGGTGTCGATGCCAAAGGCTTACAAGGCTGTGTTCTACAGACTGACTGCATTCTTCATGCTTGGGAGCCTGGCGATTGGTGTGAATGTGCCTTACAACGACAAGACGATGCAAGATGCATTTCTTAAGGATCTACCAGGTGCCACTGCATCGCCATATGTCATTTCCATGCGCAGACTGCAGATCCGTGTACTTCCAGACATTGTCAACGCCATGGTCCTATCTGCAGCTTTCAGTGCCGGAAACAGCTACGTTTACTGTGCTAGCCGATGTCTCTATGGTCTGGCTCTCGAAGGCAAAGCACCTCGCATCTTCACCCGCTGCGCGAAGAACGGGGTGCCTATCTACTGTGTGGGCGTTGTATTGCTCATTGCACTGCTGAGCTTCCTGCAAGTGTCGAACAGCGCCTCTATCGTACTGCAGTGGTTCGTCAACCTCGTCACGGCATCGCAGTTGCTCAACTTCTCGGCCATAACATTCACGTATATGCGGTTCTACAAGGCACTGAAGGCACAGGGTATCTCAAGAGATTCACTGCCGTTCAAGAGTCGATTCCAGCCTTATCTTTCATATTATGCCTTTATTGGGCCTTTTGTCATGGTCTTTGTTGGGGGATACCCGGTGTTCTTGCCAGGGAATTGGAGCCTACCAACTTTCCTCTTCTCCTATACAATGATTGCGGTATGCCCTTTGATATTCTTGGGATGGAAGTGGTTCAAGCGCACCAAGTTTTTGAAGCCTGAGGAGGTGGATTTGATTGATGGTGTGGAGGAAATCGAGGTGTATACCCGGAACTATGTAGCCACGCCTCCAGGGTAAGATCCCCTCCCTAACCCTTGATGTACTTTAGTTCTCAGCGTCGATGTGGTACATGGGGTTGCTAATGACTGTGATTCATAGGAACCTGTTTGAGAAGATTTTGAACTTCATATTTTAAAAGGAGATACCCCCCCTTTTTTTTTTCGGTTCGACTAATTGGCGCCTTCTGTCGATTGTTACGGGCCAGTATATTTGTATAGTGAATAGACCCAATTTATACAATGCATATTCTTATCCCCAATTGCATAGTGAAAATTAGATTTTATTTTTATTTTATTTCTTTTTGGCTCACCGGAACCACCAGTTGACCTGTTGGAAGTTAGATAATTATTGTTGGTTTCAGTTGATATTGCATGTGTTTTTGGTATACTAACAGAAGCAGTGATTCCCTGGCCAACACCCTTGATACTATGCCACCATCCGGTTGGAATGAAAAGAGCATCCCCTGGTTGGAGAATGGCATCATATCCGACGTTTTCCTGAGTTGTGCCCGACGTGTGTTCATTATTATTGTTGTCCCAGACGGCGTGGTCCAAGAGCTGGCGCTCTGCCCCTTTCATCATCTCATCGCCTCTGATGGCAGAGCTGCATCCATGTCCTGTCCGAGCCGAGTCTAGTGTTTCCCTGACTTGAGCAAACACCCCACGTCCGACGTCTGGAGCTAGCAGCCTGACATGTTTTGAGCCGGCCAGCTGTACGAACAGGTTCGGGTTCGGGTCGCGGTGCAGGGGAGTGTATGTCGGAGCCAGCCCAACCCATATATTGGTATCATAGATGTCTCCCTTCCCGGCCTGCATGACATATGAGGGGGTCGGGAAGTCCTCCCGGAGCGAGCCCGGTAGATCCAGGAGCTGGCATTGAGCAAGGTACAGCCGTGGCCCGTCCTGCGCTTCTGCGGCCGGCGTCGACTGCACCGACCGCGTCCACTGAAGAAACAGGCTCAACGGCCGGTGAGCCCGCTCGAAGACGATTCCATCCCGTCCGCCGGGTATAGTCAGCTCCAATGGCACGTAGCAGTCGCCGTGCTGCTCGAGGTAGGCGTAATTGAGGCCGGGATTGGACGCCGGTGCGGAGGAGGCAGCACCAGGCGGAGGAGGAGGATGAGGAGAAGGAGGAGGGTCGAACCACCGGGAGACAGCGCGGTAGTTTCGGAAAAGGCCTCGAGGCAGGACGACCGGCCGCTGGGCCTTGAAGCAGGACTCACGGAAGAGCGCAACGCAGTCTGTGGCCAGCGTGTCGAGGGCGAGATACCGAAGCGCAGCAGAGCCCGTCATCGCCGCAGCAAAGGAAGAGGAGGAGGAAGAGGAGGAGGAGGAGGAGGAGGAGATACGCAGCCACCCAGCGCCGCCAGCTCCCGACGATCACGACCGCGCACCAGGACTCCGTGCTCTGTGCAATTGGTATAACAAGGCATTAGCAGCAGCAGCAGCAGCAGCAGGGGAGCCAGGAGCTGAAGAAGGTTGCTCGGGTCTGCGGACGAGCAGCAGCGCAGCGACGAATAGCTCGAGCCCCGGCAGCTCCAGCCAAGCGACTAAGGGACGCCCCTCGCTCGCCGGGAGGACTCTGCCAGCCCATCGCACTTTTCCCCTTTGCTGCTTAAGGCGAGCGCCGAGCTGCCATCACTAGACGCTACCCCAGATTGCTGCTGCTGCTGCTGCTCTCTCTCTCTGTCGGGCCAGCGAGACGGACGGGCTGACGACTGACACGGACGACTGACACATCGGACCGGACTCGCTGCATGGCCAGCCCTGGGATGCGCTGGGCCTACCTAACTAACTAGCCTGTCGACGCGAGAAGCAGCCAGGGACAAGGAAGAGAAGACGCTCGCACGATGTCCTCGAGATCTCCTACCGACGGCCAGACGCCCACGGCGACGACGACGACGACGGCGACGGACGATGGGAAGCGCAAGGCAGAGCCTGCCACGGGCACGCAGACGCGGGCGAAGAGGAACAGATACATCTCGCTAGCATGGTACGTCTTGATCCGTCCAGTAGTGTATTTGGCCTTGGTCAGGTAGCTAGTTATTAACCTGGTGGTGAAGCAACGAGTGCAAGAGGCGCAAGATCAAGTGCAACGGCCAAGTGCCCTGCCAGCGCTGCGGACATCTATCTCTCGAGTGTACTTTTTATATCCGCCCTCTCAGAGCCGGTTTTCAGTCTACGGAAGGGACGGGAGGGATGCTAACGGGCTGCAGGTCTCTATTCGCCGAACTGCTGTCAAAGCAATTTCAAGGACTCCGAGTAGGTTGCTCTTTTTTATTTTTTATTGTCCCCCTGAGATTGCCGTTGAACTTCAAGCTGATACTTACGTCCTCGATACTGTAGGGAGTTCCGGTCCATGAAAGATCGTATCGAGCGGCTTCAGGAACAGGTCAACACTCTGTTTGAGAGCATCAATGGCCTCCATCGACAGACCGAGTCGCCCGCGGTGGACAACACCTCCCAGCTAAGCCGGGAAGCGTCGAGGTCGATATCGTGGCACCAGCCCACGTTCGAGACACAGAATATCCCTATACCAAAGCCAAGGACGAAACATCTCCGCTTCCATGGTCCTACCAGCACCGCGTTCAACTTCGCCGTGGCCAAATCCAGTCTCCAGACAATGGGCATCACCCATATAGACGACGGCTCACAGGAGATATACAATGCACAAGACGCCACGCCCACACAGACACCACCATACCATTCGTCTACGCTATATGCAAACTCTCTAACGTCAAACAAGGACCCGTTGTTCGCGATCAAGCAGGAGGAGGCTATCCGGCTGTGTAGAGTGTACGAGGATGAGATAGGGCAGATGTACCCCATGTTCGATGTGGAAAAGATGATCACGCAGACAAACCTCCTTTTCGCCTTCCTAGAAGCTGCGGACCGGAATGTCTGCACGGGACGGTCCAGGACCAGTGCTGATTGCCTGAATGATGACGATACTGCGATCCTGAAGATAGTGCTGGCCATCACGCTTCTCCTCGAAGGGAACGGACAGAGCGAGCTAGGCACTCAGCTATACATCAGTATCAAAGACAAGATAGAAACCAACCTTTGGGAGCAGGGAGACCTGAAGATGATCAAGCTTCTTGCCCTTGTCGTTAGTATTATCTTTTTCCCCCTTTTTTCAAATACGCTATATCGCCCCCTCCTATTCTAATTAGCTCTCAAACACAGGCTACCTATCACTTTCACACGGACGATGAGCTCCTGGCATACCGTATGGTTGGACTTGCTGCTAGGATGTGCATTGAAATGGGACTCCATCGACGGGATGCAGTCTTGAAGATGTTCCACTCCCCAGAGGACATCACTACCGTTTATCGAATCTTTTGGTCTGTATACACATTGGACAAAAGATGGGCGTTTGGAACCGGCCTTCCCTTTGTTATACAAGATGAAGATATTGATCCATGCTTACCCGAACCAGTGAGTTAAGCTGTCCTTTTTCTCGCCCCTACGAGGAAGTCAATCCAAGTGTCTAACTGTAAAATAACCCGATAAAGGACGAGGGTGTCCCTTACTTAAGGGCCATGGTTCATTACTGCCGTATAGCTTCCAAAGTATGGTACTCTGGCTTTGGGTCAAAGGCCGACCTGACCGTCAAAAAGGACAGGATGGGCTACCTTGACTATCAGATTGTCGAGTGGATGAAACACATCCCAGATCCTCTCAACTTTTATTCGGTTGATAACTCCCGCAATTCGGACGGCGTCAACCGTAGTATACAGCGGCTACGCTACGTTTTATATATCCGAGGAAACCATATGAGAATACTTATATACCGACCGGTGTTGCACTCTGCCACTAGCATCATTGAGAATATGGCGTATGCTCAGACAGTGGTGGAAATTGCAAAGGATACCATTCGCGTTTTGAGTGAACTTAACCGGACAACCGACATCTACCGTTCACAGCAGATCCTCTTCAACTATTTCCTTGTTGGAGCTCTTGTCGTTCTCTTCCTTGCCATATCTCACGCCCCCGTCAAGTTCAACCGCCAGCTAACGGAAGAATTCCACATGGCTCTCAATCTTGTCAAGGGATTCAGCACCAAGTCTTACATATCTAAGCGGCTATGGAAAATGATCAAGGGCCTGCGTGAAGTTGGAGAAAGGCTCGGACTGCTACCCCATGCTCTACCTACAGAGTCGGCAGACCCCCATTCCACAGCGGCTGTAGCCATGGCCGGGCTTGCAGGGCATTCGGTTGATGGGATCTCGCCCTACGGAACGCACCAACACACGAACGGAGAACTAGGGAGCAGCCCGATGAACGGCGTACAAATGAGCAATGAGCTTACTTATCTGTTTGAAGCGATTGAAAATTATAATGGGTATATCACAACGGCTTCGGCATCCGATGGGATGAACGGTGGAGGCTTTACTGGCACTGAGCATACTTTGCCCAGCGCCGGAGAGACGATACCCGTACTGGGCAACGAAGGGGAGTTTTCGAGGATTATACAGGACCTCTTCTGATGACCTGACAGGTGGAAGGTCCTTCTCATTTTTGTGTTGATTACGTTTAGGTGTATACATCTCACTGCCACATAGCAAGACGGCAATAAAAAAAAAAGGAAAAAAGGAAAAAAAAAAGAAACCTACCCTCAATATTACTAGGCCTTAATGCACATCCTCCACCGTTACTCTCTACTATATCTACCTATGTCCTCCTATATCTACCGGTATTGCAGTATATCAATATCAATATCAATATCAAATATCAAATATCAAATATCAAATATCAATAAGATATGGTCTACTTCTTCTGCTTCTGCTTCGAGTGCTTAGTCATCACATCACATGACGACCCAGACCTTCGAAAAGCGAAAACAAAAAGTCGAATGGAAAAACATCAAGAAATCGATCAATCAGCGAGGAATTCGTGAAGCCGACGCTCTGCTTCCTCTCTCGCGACGGGACGTTCGACCGTTGTTGCCGCAAATCTGCTGTGCCGTGGACCTCCAGGCCGCCTGTCTCTCCCTATCGCACGCTGTCGCATCGGCCACAAACAGCATCGAGATAGATCCCTGTCGCAACCAGCTCAACCGCTTGTTATCGATAGTTACCACAAATAAGCCTCCATTTATCCCACCATCCTTTACGAGTTCGGCCTCTGTCCGTCT